GACAATAGTAAACGCAGCAAAAACTCACGAAGGGTTGTAAAAGCCAATGATGATGATGAAATTGTTTTATATTCTTCTGTCATTTTTGTTGTATGTCCAATTGGTATACTTATATATTTGTTGCCTTTATGTAAAAGGACACACTTTAAACTTCGTTTGGAACAGTCGATAAAAAGACGCCAGTGATGTGGTGTGTATTCCGATACACCCATTTTATCTAACAGTCCTTTAATATTATTACAAAAAACCATATCATTTTGCTGAGAAAAAAAGGCAAAAGATCTTTTCTCTGTTACGGTATTATGTAATTTTGGTGTCTGGGCGAAGAAGATTCTTTTGCTTTAATCTGGAGGCAAGCAACTCGGAAGAATCCTTTGGAAGGTTCAAATCTCTGATAAGGTCACTTAGCTCTTCCTGAGTAAAGAACTCAGGACGTGTTGACTCTTCTTCAAAATCACTGTCGTCTTCCTCAAATCTATTAGTCTGTAGTTCGTCAGATAACGTTTCGACATTATCCTCTGGTAACGTAGGTAGACAAATAAATATTGGAATGGGTATCTGTTCAAGCTGATGTGGAATTGGTCTTATTGCTAAATCCAGGTTAGGATATGTACACGTATGTCGATTGTTACGATTAATGCCCTTTATATTCACAAGACAGAAATAGCAATCGTAAAAATGATTTATTGGTTCCCTCTATACCATTGGTACACCAAACTTTAAACATTTTCGTTGTCCTTTCGTCTACTGTCGCAATTTTTCCAGACAAGTTTTGCACACTACATGTGAAGCTCAGGATTTATCTTGATCTTCTATCTAAATGAACACCAAAATAGGTTTGATATGCCCTTTTTATAAAATCACAAACTGGTTTTCTACTTCCCTTTACAATTTACTCGTTACATATGCAGCAAAAAACGTCCGGGTTATTCACACAACAACGCCTGCTTGTAGAAGCCACGGTTTTCAGTTGTCAAAACAAACTATTGCAACGAAACTCGAGTTCAAACTAAATTTTACAATAGAATGCAGTTGATTTTATAGGAATTTATTAAGGCCGTTTCAGAGAAAATACTATTTACTTATCGGACAATAGTTAAAAAGCAATTAGTGCTAATTTCAAGTTATGGGCATTTCCAAAAAGTATACTTTAATAGAAGTCATTAGGGTGTCAGCCGATATGCGCTCGACCGTTTTGCGCCCTTACCTGAAATCGGCCGGTTTGCGCTCTAACACTTTCTTAATGGAGATGTATAGCTATACTCGGTTCGCTATTCCCAGTCCGAACTGTCTAGTGAATTTAGTAATTATTTTTTTGCGAAGTTAGTTACTTTTTGACAGACTAAAGGAAATTACTATACAACCAATCACACGTACTCATAGCCAATATTAATAGTAAACAAACTAAATAGTAAATAAAATAGAACTTTGCGAATTACCGACAATCAATATTTATTTATCTCCACCATATAATAAATAGTTATGTTAAATTATAACAACTAAAAAATATATTTTAAATATTTACTACCCAAAATTTGATGGGTTTAGTATACACTTCCACTATTTAGAATAATTCTTCTTTTTTTCAAAAAAAGAAGTCTGCAATAGTAGTATACTTGAGCTATTAATACTGAGAAGTAGAAATTGTTGTGTTGTAGGTTTCCAACAATGAATCTGTCAAAATATGCCTGAGCTAAGCGAATGGAGTATAATTATTTTCTTATATCGACCGTTTTGCGCTCTCTTGTAATCGACGTTTAATTTTATTCTAGCATAACGATCAGGTAACGGTTAGGCTAGTAAAATTAGTTTTAAAAAATCATAAAACTATAAAAAAATAAAAATAAACCATCTTCTCTTCATACTTTCATTAAGGCTTAGGACTGTCATAGTTTATACATAATATAAACATTGGCGTGTTTAGAAGATGTTTTTTTTTTATTTTTTCATTTTTTTTCTTTTTTTTTTCAAACTTTTTATACAGTAAAATAAAAAATTCTTGGGAATAAAAAATTGTCTCTTTATTGCAGCTTTTGGATATATGCCAATGTCGTTAAATACAACCTTAAGTCCCTTGTATCTTTATATTTCTACAAAGTTTTGGATATTCTTCCATCAAGATTAATATATGATTTCTTGCGCCGCGTTCCTTCTAGATTGCAAGTAAATCGATCATAAAGGTGATCACAATATTCTGCTTCTTTAATCAGGCACTTCACTAATTGGAATACATTGGGATGTGGTCTTATTAATGTATTCAGACGATGATTCCAATCTTCTAAAACGTTATTACTGCGATGTCTTTGATCATGGCAATTACACATTACCTTGGTAATGTGAGTATTTTCTAACCATTGTTTGATAAAGTAGTCATAAAACTGTTCCATTTTTTTCAGAAATAGGAGAGGTTTCTTGAATGCATAACCAGCCATCATCGATATCTTCTATCACAGTTTATTAATTAAATCTTGCTCTAGAAAGCGAAAGTGCTTGAACAAGATTTAATTAATAAACTGTGTTCGATATCTGTGCCTTTCATTTAATCAAAGTTCATTTATTCGAGCTTTCAACCTTATATCAATATATATATATATATATATATATATATATATATATATATATATATATATATTATATATATATATTTATAATATCTTAGTGCGCCAAGCAATTAATTAGCTAATTAATTAATTAATTAAAATTATTTAAATGATATGATTATGATTCTATCACACTTTTTAATTCTCTTATCTCAGGGTTATATTCGTGCTTCAATATCTATGCTTTACATGTGAAAGGTAAGGTCCAAAGAATACCGGAATAATAAAAGACATATATGATATAACATTATATATTGAAATAAAAATAATGAAATAAAATTCACACTCAAATGTTTTCAATAAACAATATCTCATATAATGATTCTCAAAATTTTGTTCTACGTACGTGAACCTTCAAAATTAATGGTAAAACAATATGGGTTAAAATCTCAAAATCCCAATTATTATTCTAAATCTCCTAATCAAAATATTTATATCTTTTCTAAAGTAATTGTAATAATTGTGTTCTTAAGCTATCTTTGTTAGAATCTATGGAAATCAACAAATTAAAAAACACAGATATAATTCTGAATGACCAACTTGAGACAAACAGTTCTCCCCTCCTCAACCTATTTCATTAGAGAATATAAATTTGTAAACTCAAGTCAAAAATAGATCACTTGAGAAAGGCTATCAGCCGAAACAGCTGTAGTGATAAGATTTAAAATAAATTTTGTGAAGTTTCAAAACAAAGTTTTCAGTGTTTTATTGTTACATAAAATGAATTTCCATCTAGTAACGGTCGAATCCATCAATTATATATTATATATATATATATATTTATATATATATATATATATATAAAAATGCTACCGGAAATACTGATAAATATTAATATAACCGGATCATATTGAATATTATCGGAAGTAACAAAGCTCCGTCTCTAATAGACCAATAAATTTAGTAAAAAATAAGAATTTTTCGTCAAAAACTATATATACTTCATCTAATTTACTTACCGTTCACGTCATCGGCGTCATAATCCGTGAGGTCACATGATACCAACACGAAATATTTAGGCGGTAGGTGTGTTAATTTTAGAATCCCTTTGCCCAGTACACTGGCATTACAGCAACTTGACATATTTTATTATATACGCGTAGAAATGATATTTAAAGACTTTTATTAATGTTAACTTAAAGAAATACACAATAATATGTTTCATTTAACTTGTATAAATGCATTATAAAGCGTTTTTATAAAGAACATTTGTTCGGAACACCCTGTAACTGTAATCGAACGAAGGTTATATTTTGACATAAATTGGTAACACTTATTTGACAGTTTCGATGTTGACACTTTTTGTACTTTATTATTTTGAATTTTAAAGTGAATACCTCTTTTTTTATATTTTTTACCTATTTAATAAAATCTGTTCTTTTGAGAACAAAATTAGTGTGTTTTATTTCAAAAATGTCACGTAAGAATTTAAATAGTCGTTTTAAAGAGATGGTAATACTTTTGCAATAATTATGTGACCTATTTAATTTAAAATGGAGTCAGGATTTTTTTATACTTTGGCAACTATGTCAACTTCGATCTCTGCCAATGATAATGACGTGTAACGGTAAGTAAATTAGATGAAGTATATTACAAAAATACTCTCATCTAAGGCTTCATCAATTTTTTAGCGGGAATATTGTTAAATGAACAATCAAAACGCCAAACTCATTATTTTGCTCATAACTTAAAAACTTATTAGTCTATTTAGGAATTTGAAGTGACGTACAACTTTTTTATTAGAAAAAGATACACAAAATCAGATATGGTAAATTAAAATCGGATGATAAACAAAAAAGTTATTGCAAAATTAACAACAAAATTGCCATTTCTGAATATTGTTAATAATTTTTTTATTATTAAAATTTGTTTAAATGTACCGAAAAAATTTTTGGAAAGCTGGTTAAAAAATACAACTTTTAGAAAAAAAAAAGAGGTCCTACTACCTTTAGGAGCTAAGATAGCCCCCTTTCTGTCACTGTTACGTTGATTAACCACATTAAGGACTGAAATTAACCAATCTTTTATGAGAAAAGTCAAAAGTTTTTAACAAAACTTTTAGCAAACAAAATGATTGGAAATTGTTTAAACAGCAGTGTTGTAAATGGTCAGAACACCTAGAACGACGGCGAAAGATAAGCCAAAATGGCAATATAGTAACAAGGACCTTTCAGAACTAACTACTGTCAATATATAGAACTAAATATGTATGTTCATTAATGAAACCTTAAACAGGCCTAATAGTTGTGCAACTAGTTATAGATAGCTGCATAGATATTTAACATATTTAAGGCGTTAATCCCTTTAGAACGTAACAGTAGCTCAGTTTTAACTCTATAAAGTGATAAACGAAAATCAAAATATGTACATATAATACATACCTATACAAAGAATACTAAATAATTATGATACTTTTTATTAATCAGTGTAATACAAACTTTATTTACAAGTTCTACACATTTCAGCTCTGATCACATCTTCCCTGGGATACTATTTGTAAATTAGGATCTTCTTGTTGTGCGCATTTAAACCAGCATTCGTTGTCATAAGTCTCTCCATTCGAAGCGCAAACTTCACGTATTATTAAGATACATGAACATATAAAATCTTCTGCTGGTAGAAGTTCTATGTCTTGAGCTTCTGCGGGTGAAACTAAAATCAAGAACGTCACGCACAAGCAAAGATTAACAAACAAAAAGATATTCATGGTAGATATTTTAAAAATTTATTAAAACTAGTAATTTAAAAGTTTTAAGCTTATGAAAGTGCCATTGTTATTTATATATAAATGCAAATAATAAATTTTTTTATTTTCTTTTGTTTACCGATAGGTACTTGAAATTTCGATTAAGATGACACTATAATTTTATGACTGTTAAAAGATATACAGTCGCAACATGTATTTACTTTTAATGCTAGTTTGTGGGTGTTTGTAATTAATACAAAAAAATTGATTCCTATACAGCTCTCTGTGTGTAACCTTGTGTGTAGTCCTCTTTTTATTTTCATCTATTAATAATTCATCTAAATCGTGTTTAGAATAGCAGTATATATTTGTCTGATCAATGAATCCATTGAAACTGACTGTGATGAAAGTCTATCCCAAAAAGTCTTTCAGTTTTACGTACTTTTTCAAAGTACTTCAAAGAGCAAAGTTCAAAAAATTTATTAAAAAATAAATCCTCTTACTTCGTTTAGTATTAATTTTTATTTATTAGGCGTTTAACGTTCCAATTTCAGGACGTAAACCTTTTATTCTGCCAAACAAAATTTTATTATTTAAATATCCTAAATACGATAGAACGACAGCAGCTGTTAAAATTTTCGAGGACAAACTTAGCTGTAAAATCGATCTGACAACTCGTAAAATTTTTTTTCTTAGAGAAAATATTAGATTTGCTTAGATTATTAATTATACAAATAGAGAAAAATGATTTTTGAGTTAAATTTCGTAAGAGGAGGTCAATGTTCTTACTTTATTGCATCCTTTTTCGGTTTATTCGTGAAACAGGCGTTTAATTGTAATTAAAATATTCATTTAGGGCCGGTTCTACAATCAAAGTATAAATTAGAGAATAGTTATTCTGAGTATAAGTTACACTTGAGTTTATTCCAAGTATAACCTTTCGAGCGTTCTACATTGTGAAATCGACAGCGGAATAGTTATTCTGGGTATAACCACAGAACACTAAGGTAAAACAAAATATTAGATCTGATATCCTCAAAATTAGTTCAAATTGTTATTGACAGTGACATTTGGCAGATGTCATAACTGTAAAATTTGTTTACAATTGAAAGTATTTTATCTACTTTATCTTTATCTAGTATTTTATCTACGTTTATATACTTTGCAAAATTAATATAAAATGGATAAAAAAAGATGTAACAATTTTACATATACAGAAATTGAATTCAAATGCTACATAAATATATATCTAATTCATACCGAATTCTAAAAGTTTTTGGATGTCTTAGCCTAGGTATTCCTTCTTCAAAATCTTCATCATCAGATTCAAAAATATTAATATTAACTGGATCCATATCAAACATTTTATTTTATATATAAAAACAAACAAAACCACAGTTCAAAGATCGAATGGAATAAAGTGAGATTAAAATATCACAGATTTGACAACCCCTCGCCGACCAATAGAAATGCAGTATAAATTTATACTCCGTATATCTGCTCAACTTTGGAGGGATAAAGTTATGCTATAGATATACTCCGATTATCTTATTCCTAGTTTATTCTTTGTTTGTAAAACACCATTAATGAAATTATTCCAAGTATAACTTTATTCTCAGTATATACTAGTATTGTAGAACCGGCCCTTATATATATACAATAGCACTAAAGGCCTTAGAGGCCCATGGCTTAAAAAATTTTGTTCTTTCTTCATTTTCGCTTTACTTTATGTACTGAGATCTTCTCTGGCTCGATATGTGACTTTTCTCCATTCCTTCTTGTTATTCATTTTTCTTTTGTGGCCGTCTAGTCCAATTTCTTCCATATCTTTTTCTACCTCCTGATTCCATCTATTTTTTGGCCTTCCTTTTCTCTTTTTTGAAGTTATATTGTAGTTTAGTACCCTTTTTGGGGTCCTCGTGTTTGGCATCCTTTCTAGGTGACCTCGCCATCTTAGTTTCTGTGCCTTTATGACTCCTATTATGTTAGGTTGATTATATAATTTCTTTAACTCATCATTTGATCTTCTTATCCATAAACCGTCCCTTATTATTCCTCCATATATCTTCCTCAAGATTTTCCTTTCCCATATCTCCAGTAGATTTTGTTCATTTTTTGTCATTGTTCACGTCTCACTGCTGTATGTTGCTATTGGTTGTATAGTTGTTTTGTATAACTGTATTTTTGCCTTTCTTGATAAAAACTTGCTTTTCAACATTCCACTAAGAGCATGTACACTTCTATTGCCTGCCATGATTCTAGCTTATATTTCTTCTTTAATGTTAGGTTTACGTGATATTATTGTACCTAGGTATGTAAATCTTTCCACCATTTCGAATTCGTATGATAATCTTTCTTCTACTTCTACTTTAAACTTTTGTCCATCCCTAAACTGATCATCTGTCCACTGCATACATTTTGTTTTAGTTTCATTTATGTAAAGTCCCATTTTCTTTGCTGCTTTTACTATTCTCTGTACTATCTTCTGTAGCTCTTTTTTTCCTCTTGCCAGCAACACTATATCATCTGCAAATGCCAAAACTTGGTGTCTTTTATGATATAAGAGTCCTTCTCTATTAATTCTCGCTTCTCGCATTATTTTTTCTAGGCATAAATTGAAGAGTAATGATGACAAAAGATCGCCCTGCCTTAATCCTTCGTTTACTATAAATTTGTCCGATGCATGATTTTTGACTTTGACTCTGTTTTCTGTATTCTCTAAAGTAAGATGTATCATGTTACGCAACTTTCTGCTAACTCCCAGTTCCTCAAGGGTCTCTTTTAATTCCTTCCTTTTTATTCTGTCGTATGCTTGCTGGAAGTCGATGAATAGCGCTATCGTTGGTAAGTTGTGTTCATAGCTTTCTGCTTGTAACTCTCTTATTATGAATACTTGGTCCGTTGTGCTTCTCCCTCGTCTAAATCCACACTGGTATTCGCCTATTATATTTTCATCTTCTTTTTCCAGCTTATCTTTGATCGATTTTGATAGGATTTTATATATGGTATTTAGTAACGCTACTCCTCTGTAATTACTGCATTCTGTTTTGTCTTCTTTTTTGTGTAATGGACAAATAATGGCTTCCTTCCAATCTTCTGGTATTCGTTATTTTATCCATATCTCTTTTATGATCTTGCATATCCAATTATTTAGCAGTTTTCCACCATATTTCATCATCTCTGCTGTTATGTTATCACTTCCAGGGGATTTGTTGTTTTTCAGATTTTTTATGATTTCCTCGATTTGTTTTTTGCTGGGTGAATTATCTTCTATGTCGTCTATGTGTTCAATTATTGCTTCTGCTTTCATATATTCTCTTTGGTTTGACTTATTATTACCATTTAGTAATTCATCAAAGTACTCTTTCCATCTTTCGACTATTTCTGCTTCCCCGCTTATATTATTTCCTGCTTTGTTTTGGGTTTTGACGAACCGAAACGAATATGGGTTTTTGTTGGAAACCTTTTTTTTTTTCATTTCTAGCACCTTGATACAGGTTTTTTATTTTTTTATTTCTGTAATTCTCTTCTATTTCTTTTAGCTTATTTTCTATGTGTTTTCTCTTCTTTTCTCTCAGCACTATCTTTACTTTTTGTCTTTGCTCCCTATATCTATTCTTTGTCTCTATTGTTTCTTTCGTGATCATTTCCATCCTTAATGATTTTCTTAGTTCTATTTCTTTTTGGCACTCTATGTCGAACCAGTCTTTCATCTTTTTATTCTCTTGTTTATCACATTCTTTTGCTGCTTTGTTCATTATTTGCTTTATGTTTTCCCATTTGTTCTCAGTTTGCTCTTCTATTTGTATCTTTTTTAGTTCTCTTTCCATTGTTTCCTCGTATATTTCTTGATCTTTTTTTTGTTGCTAATCGAATTGGGTTATGTATACATTTCTTTTTATTTATTTTGTTTTTTGTTTTCTGGTATCAGTTGCTTAATTTTGATACCCACCATGTAGTAATCTGAGTCAGCGTCTGGTCCTCTGTATGTTCTTATCTTCTTTATACATTGCTGTTCCTCTTTTTCGATGAGCACGTGGTCTATTTGGTTTTTAGTCTTTCTATCTGGCGATATCCATGTTTCCTTGTGTATTTCGTTTCTTTCGAAATATGTGCTCATTATGATCATATTTTTTTCTCTTGCGAAATCTATCAGGAATTGTCCGTTCTCATTAGTTTCATTGTGTTTACTATATTTTCCTATTGTCGGTCTAAATACTTCTTCCTTCCCTATTTTGGCATTTGCGTCGCCTAGAATAATTTTCATATCATATCTGGGTATATTTTCGATTGTTCTGTTTAATTCATTGTAGAAACATTCTTTAACATCATTATCTTTTTCTTCTGAAGGTGCGTGAATATTTATGAGGGTGATTTTTTGGTATTTTCCCTTGAACCTGATACTACATATTTGGTCTGATACTGGTTTAGACTCTACTATTGCTTCTTTTAGCTCTTTTCTTATCATAAAACCTGTGCCTAATGTTCGATTCTTTCCACCGCTGTTGGAAAACATTGTATCCTCTATTTCGAATATATCATTTCCCAGCTGTTTCGTCTCCTGTAAAGCTACTATGTCAAAATGGAACTTTTCGATTTCTCTCGCTAAATGTTTAAGTTTGCCTTCTCCATATGTGCCTCTTACATTCCATGTTCCTAAAAGTAGGTGCTCTTTTCGCAATGTTTTCTTGTGTTTTGGTTCAGTTTTCATTTCTGTACTCTTTTTTCCTTTTTTTGTATTTTCCTTAACCTTGTTCTGTGCTTGTTTCGTCAACGTTATTCCAGTAGTACATGTAGTTGCTAGTTTTTTTATGTTTTTTTACACATTGCGCCTTCTTTGTCATTCCACCTCCATTCGCTGTTATTCACCCATATTTTTTTTACTCCAATTTTTACTTCATTTCCTTTATTTCTTTCTTCTTGAGCAATGTTTCTAATTGTTTTCTGTATTTCTCGTTCTTTTATGGTTGCATCTTCGTTGATATATATTTTACTTTTACGTTTACGTTTAGAACCGGCCCTTAGTTTTCTTTAAAAGTATTTTCGAATAAATTTCTACAAGTGACT